GCGGCTGTATGTGCCCGCCCCTGCTGGGCTGCCCCCATCTGCGCACTCCCTGCGGCAGCGGCTGCTGGCCGAGCACCACGATGCTCCGGTCGCTGGCCACTTGGGACGCGACAAAACTTTGGAAGTGCTGGCACGGCGCTTCTACTGGCCTGGTTTGGCCAAGGATGTGACTACTTGTGTGCGGAGCTGTGCGGTCTGCCAGCGCACTAAGACCCGGAACCAGCCTCCCCTCGGGCTGGCGCAGCCCTTGCCGGTGCCTTCTGCACCCTGGGAGCTGGTGGGCATGGACTACATTGTACAACTGCCTGAGAGCAGGCGTGGCAACACTCAGATTGTGGTGTTCACTGATCACCTGACCAAAATGTGCCACTTTGTGCCGGCGCTCACTCCGCTCTCGGCAGAGAAGACCGCTGGGCTGTTCCTGCGACATGTGTTCCGCCTGCACGGATACCCCTCTGGCATTGTGTCAGACCGGGACAGCAGATTTGTGGGTGTCTTCTGGCGCTCGCTGCAGCGGCTGCTGGGCACGCGCCTGCACCTGTCGACGGCCTACCACCCACAGGTAAAGGTAAAGGTGGGGAAGAGCCTCCACAGGCTTAACTTCCCGGTTTTAACGTCTAGCTTTAGACCATTATTTGATCTGCCCGACGCGCCAAGTGCAGTACCCCCCACTAGTAGTGAATGGGTCCCGGGGGGGCCTGTGCCGAAGCCTTGGCGATTCTAATAGGCGTTCCCGAAGGAATTGGCTTGGATTGGCGCTGAGCCGGTCAGCTATGCCGCGTTTGTCCTCACAAAGTTTCGACATGGGAGGAATCGAACCTGTGCCCTCTGGGAGGGTTTAGACACTAGCTCCAGCGCCTTCAAAGAAGGCCTTTCTTAGCCGCGGCCCTAAAGGTAAAGGTGGGGAAGAGCCTCCACAGGCTTAACTTCCCGGTTTTAACGTCTAGCTTTAGACCATTATTTGATCTGCCCGACGCGCCAAGTGCAGTACCTTCGTGGCGGCATCTGGGCGGCGGACGGCTGCCCGGCAGACCGGCATGGCGCTTGCAAGACGGAGCCTCCCCGGGATGCCATCGGCGGCCAGATTTTCCTCGCTCTGGACAGCCGGCAGGGTTAGTGGGTTCGGCCCCAGCACATTAATGTGCCCAATCCCTGTAACACACACACACACACACACAGTACCCCCCACTAGTAGTGAATGGGTCCCGGGGAGGCCTGTGCCGAAGCCTTGGCGATTCTATTAGGCGTTCCCGAAGGAATTGGCTTGGATTGGCGCTGAGCCGGTCAGCTATGCCGCGTTTGTCCTCACAAAGTTTCGACATGGGAGGAATCGAACCTGTGCCCTCTCGGAGGGTTTAGACACTAGCTCCAGCGCCTTCAAAGAAGGCCTTTCTTAGCCGCGCATACCCACAGACAGATGGGCAGACCGAGCGCGCCAACCGCACTCTGGAGGAGATGCTGCGCGCCTTTCGTCGACACTGAGCAGCAGAACTGGGGATGAATTGTTGTGTGCTGCTGAGTTTGCATACAACAACTCACTACATAGCAGCTCGCAGTTCACCCCCTTCTACCTGAACACTGGACGGCACCCTCGCACCCCTGCGACGCTGCTGAGTGATGTGCCCCTTCCAGCTGCCAGCCGGAGCCCAGACGCCGACTCCTTTGTGGCGGCGCTGCGGCGTGCGTGGGGCAACGCCAAACAGAACCTGGACCGTGCCAAGGCTGTGCAGACTGCCCATGCCAACCTGCACAGGAAGGAACACACTTTTGCTGTGGATGACCGAGTGCTGATGGAGACTAAGCACCTGGGCTTTGGCAAGACGGGCCCAGCCCGCAAGTTGCTGCCCAAATTCTACGGTGGCACTGATGAGAGAGGTCTCACGGTGGTTGAGATCGTCTCCCCGACTGCGGTGCGCTTGTCAGGCTTCCCAAATAGCGGCATAGCTGACCGGCTCAGCGCCAATCCAAGCCAATTCCTTCGGGAACGCCTATTAGAATCGCCAAGGCTTCGGCACAGGCCTCCCCGGGACCCATTCACTACTAGTGGGGGGTACTGCACTTGGCGCGTCGGGCAGATCAAATAATGGTCTAAAGCTAGACGTTAAAACCGGGAAGTTAAGCCTGTGGAGGCTCTTCCCCACCTTTACCTTTACCTTTTACCAAAAGACTGGCGTGGGCACCCTGTGATCATAACCCTGTGTTACAGTCACCCCGCTATGATAGGCCGCGTGAGCAGACCTTGGGCAGGGGGCACACGTGATCAAGGGGCATCAAGAGAGGGGGTGGACCATGGAGCACCCTCTCCATGGCTCCGACCACCCTCCCCCCAGCTGAGCGTCCCAGGGTCACCCCACCCTGGCCCCGCTCCCCGTCCTGCCGGACACGCAACCCCCACAACGTGGTGGGGGACGTGGGGATCCTTAGCAGCTTAGGCCTGCCAGGCCGACGGGTGCCGATGCTGGTGCGGGCTCCCGGCGGCAGGCAGCGCCGCCGCCGGGCACTCAAATGGCATGGGGCACATGGGCCCCCATGCCCGCACATCTCCCAGGCACATGAAAATACCAGAAGGCTGCACATGTAAGGGTGCATGCATTGCAGGCAGGAGTGCAAAGTGGCCTGCCGCGGCGGTCGGCTGTGCCATTACTCAGTCAGCCGCCGCTACCGTGCCGGGCTTGGCGTTCCCATGCCAACATGCCGGCGTGCCATCGCGCAAGGGGCCAGTGAGTGTGTGAGGCGGAGGTGGNGGGTGGTGGGGCTGCCGCTGACCGTTGCTTGCTGACGCTGACGCTGCTCTTACCTGCGGGGGGAGGGGGTGGGTCGGGAGCCAAGGCCGGGCAAAAGATGCCTGGGCCCTACTCAAGGGAACCGAGGGAGTCACTGTGCCAGGGCAGCAGCA